TTCAATATCCTGCTTGCTGGTAGAGACACAACTGCTGGCCTTTTATCTATCTGCTGCCACCAGCTCGCAAGACACAAAGACGAATGGTTCCGCCTTCGAAAAGAAGTAATCGAAACCTTGGGAAACCGAAAGCCAACATATGAGGATATTAAATCCATGAAGTATCTTCGCTATGTTCTTAATGAAAGTCAGTTATATCGTCTCTTTACCGTTCACAAGCTCTATTCTGTCTTATGCATGTCACTGCGCCCCGGTCTGCAGCAAACGTACCCGTTTGTGAAATGCATACTAAGATAATCTGGTCCCCGTCATTCAGCTCTTCGTCTCTTCCCAGTTGTACCATCCAATAGTCGTGAAGCAGTCAAGCCTACAACACTACCTCGTGGTGGCGGTCCAAATGGAGATCAGAAGGTTCTGATTCCCAAAGATACAACTGTATTATACTCAGTTTGGAGTCTTCATCGTTCTGCAAAAATCTATGGTCCAGACGCAACTACCTTCCGCCCCAGCCGATGGGAAACTCTCCGAGTGGGATGGAACTACCTACCATTTAATGGTGGCCCTAGAATCTGCTTAGGCCGTAAGTGAAAGCTATCTCTTTCTTCCTGCGGCATATTTATTTGCGGGAGTTTGAATTGCGGTCTGATTTACCCATGCTAACCCTTGTAGAACAATACGCATTGACTGAGGCATCCTACGTGTTAATCCGTCTTTTGCAGACATTTGAAGATATTGAGAACCGAGATCCAAATCTCCACTTTATCGAGGACTTGAGGCTGACCCTGGCATGCCATGGAGGGGTAAATGTGTCGCTGACAAGGGCTAACTCCAAGCGCTAGTTGAAGCAGAGCTTGTGGGGTATTGCCTTTTCCCCTATACCTCTTGAGGTGTTTATGAAGGCACCATTCAAACTCAAGCCCAGTTATCTTAGAAATGTTCGAGATACAAATCCACCTAAAGCTGAATGCAAAAAATTCAGCTGCAGATGAAAAGGGTTGGGAAACACATAGCTAAAGTTAAACAAACGACTGAACCAACAGCTACCTAAATGATAAAAAAGCAGAGAAGATACTCCATTTCAAAATATGAAAAGAATGTTACTGTCCTTGTTCCTCAAACCAAGTCCCTGGATTCACACTCATCTGCTGACCTTCACACTCATAATCATTAATAGTTGGGTCTATGAAGCCGTTTGAAGGAACTCGTTGAGGGAAATATCGATTGATATCTTCTAGGGCCCTATTGGTTTCGTGAGATTGAGAATTTTTCTCGAGGTATTTCCGCATTGAGTATGACAGACCCATAGAGACCATAAATCCAGCCTGCGACATAGAGCTCGTAGCTGAGTGGTATTCTCGGGTGCCGGCAGTCTGACCGAGATGTCGATATTGATGACCTAGAAGGTTGGCTTGGTGAGAACCGCGAGTTTCGTTACCGTTGCTCGTTGGCGTCCTGTGGTGGCCTGTTGAATACATAGCCGGGTGACTGGAACTTGATACCCTGGCTACCTTCGAGCTGGAGTGGATCCAACTATTCTCGTGGATAGAGCTTGATGTTCTTGCGGATACAAATTCTCGAGCATCAAGCTTAGAGGCGTAAGAAGGTTGGGTATACGTTTGTACCTGCTGGGAGTTGACAAGTTCTAGGTTTGTCTCACATAGAATTCTATCGTGCCCGGGCACAAGATTCTGGTCAGACACTGAGGTACTTTCCTGACTGGCATGGCGACCCAGGTCGAGATGGCATCTGTTACTGATATTGTACCCAGGAATTCGGCGCGATTCATTAGGCAACCCATTGGTGGCTTTGCGCTTTCTATCCATATTGAACAGTTATAGAATACGTCCAACAATGATGCTAACTTGATCAATGTCTCAAGGAATTGAACAGATCAATATGAACGCTCAGAGAGTAGCAAAATTAACGCAATGTTGTAAAGGATTCCATAGGCAGCATGGTGTCTAGTCTTGCCTGGCCTGCTTGTAAAGCCACTCGAGGGGCATTCGGGTATGAGCTTTTGTGGTTTTGCAATGCCTTGGTTGGAATGCATGAGACGATTTAACCAGCTAGATAAATTGAGATCTTCTGCCTTGTCCGCCTGAGTATGTATGGGGAAAAAAAAAAAAAATTAAATCAAGCACTACCACCTTGTCCAGCCCCTGGAAAGGTGAGGCGCTGCTTTCGACCGGCGCTCTGCTTGTGAGCCTCGCAAAATGGTGTATAAGGCTAGGCCCCGGCCAAAACTCTGAGGGCTGTGTTCTATATATGCCAGGGCATGCTTGGAAGTGGCAGTGTCCAAGCCTCACCATCACGTTGATCTTAGAGACCCCTATATCGTAATGACCCTCTGTAGATGCAACATGGGACTCTTTTAAAATATTAACTTCTGACTACTTTTTTGCCTAATGAGAAAAGAGATTGAAATAGATATTGCACGCACTGCCTCGGAGAATTTAGACTTTAAATGTATGGAATGGTAGACACTGACCAGAGCTACGAAAACTCACAATCAACAAGAGGTAAGATGAAGGCAAATTCGAAAATCGCCCAATGTTATCACCTCCAATCACATGGCCATCCACCATCAGAAGAAGTAATCGAAAAGAGAACCAAATCGTTGCTATACGCTTCATTTTCCATCCTCAACATCCTCGCGATTTATATGATGGACCTCAATCTTGTGCCTCCTTAATTGGTCAATCCTAGCAAATCCCGCGGTATTCTTACACCCAGGTATGTTGCACTTAAATGCTTTCTCGTGTTTTTGTAGATGTGTCCTGAGAATCTTGTTAGCTGTAGGAGCTGGGAGAAGCTTATCAAGATGAACGTAAAACAGAGTACATGGGACGCCATTCGTTATTATGGAGGGGCACACTTACTTAAAAGAGGAATTCCGCCCAAATATAACAACCTTTCCATCGCGGAATCCGCCCTTTGTGCATTTTTCACCATATGGGCATACCCAGTTCCCCACTCCACGTCTGTTGAGGTTGGGGTACGTGTTTTGGAAGGCCTCCATAGATACTGGAAAGGCCGTTTCCTCCGCTGCATTGTTCGTGCTCGAGCTCCACGAAACAGTAGGCGTAGGCGATCCTGAGTTGAAGTCAGGTCCCATTGCACAATTTGGGTTAATCTGACTACCAGTTGAAGAATTGTTGTTTGACCTGCAAGAAACCATAGCAGAAGATGCTGTCTGTAGTACATCCCCCATGTGATGGGGTGGGTTGGGGCTTCGCCGCCAGACCATTGATGTTTCATTGGCCATTTCCTCAAGTCTAGTTGCAAGTGTACTGTGCGCCATTAGTGAGCGTTCCATGATCAGTCAAGCCGGCAGATAAGTACTTATTCATGAATTCTCTGGAGAGAGCAATAAAAGAAAAACCCTAGGAGGGTAGAGTATATCAGAGATAACAGTTGATGAAACTATTGGTATACGGAGTTCTATTGCGCAAATAAGGTGGAAACACTCGAAGGTACTTACTTGAGGTCACGTTCCTTCTCACTCATATATGTAACCATATCCATATCGGAAAGATGATGCATTTCATTTAGTTGTTGGATATGAGCCTCGATATAAGTTTTTATATCTTCTGCCTCGACCAAGGCAGAGGCTATCTTCGACGTTAAAGCCATCATATCAACAAGGAACTCCCCAATCTCGACTAGCCTGCAGCTAGGAGCATGCGCAGGCTTTTTATCTGCCTGAACTGATGGCGCAGGTGTGGGACCAGAAGGCTGTTGTAAGAGTGCCCAAGGAGAACCGCCATCTCCGGGCGTTGATAAAGGCTGTGATCTAAGCCCTAAGTCGGGAACAGTAGCACCTTTTTCTTCACGAACGCTGGTATCGGACAAGTTTAGTTCGCTAAGCTTTGTTCGGATGATTTCTTGAAGCCATGGGCTAAGAGGCTGTGAACGTGACAGAAGTATGTTTGCTGGAAGATCGCTGGACGACATGGCAGCCATTTCTTGCATACATAGGCTTGGGACAGTGGTATTACTGGGCAGTGTTTACGCTGTAGGCGTTCTTATGTATGCCTCTCTCGCCACGTCCTGGCAGGCGGTTAGGAAACAAGTAGTAAGCAACCCAATGTGGGATGGAAGGATCGACTTCCCACAAGAATTTCGCACAGGGCAGGGCGACGAACGGGAGCAAAGCAAGGTGAAGCCCAGCCCGGCCATAAATATAGTCCGTGAGTGTCTGGGGTAGCTATGTACTTTGCTTCCTCTCTTAGGCAAATGGATGTACGGGCGGGCTGGATAGGTATGTACGTCAGGCGGGCATCAGGCAAGGCAGTGCTACTTACCCAGCCTTGTGGCCTGCTTCAGAGGGGAGAGATTGGAAGTCGGGCAGAGTGAGCAAGACCGGAAGATCCCAGTCACTCAGTTGGTCAATTTGGCAAACCCTGGGCTAGGGTTGACGAGGGAGGCTTATGCGCAGGGAGATTAACATAGTTACCGCAGCAGCATGTGTTTTTTTTTTAGCGAGCCCCCCTGTCCCAGCCAGCCTGACAAACTTGCATGCGCCCTTATCTCTCTTGCAGCTTCATGAACACCCACATGTATCCCTTGGTTGCCTCTTTCCTCTCGGCTTGCTGTCGTTCTCATCAATATCTTCATTATTATCAAAAGTCTTGTCGTCCCTCGAAATGTTGTTTGATGTCGTTTTTTCGCTCTTCGCCCAATGCGGATCCACTTGTTTACTCACGTGATTAAGATATGATTACTAATGTACACGTGATGCGGCTCATTGTTTGTCATCCGGAGCGGGCCTTTCACCGCCTTCCGAGTGCGGCATAGCGGGGCTGGCAGAATATATGTAGTCTCGGCTCAGCCGCAACTAAAAAGAGGCGCTTGCGGCTTTGTTCTTTCGACCTCGATCACCCGTTTCTTCTGGCGCTCTTGCTGTTGGATTCCTTTGCCATTCCACCCATGGCCCGAAAGCGCCTCGAGTGGTGAAGCTTGATCGCTAGTTGTATTCCTATCATGCGAAGAGAGATATTATGTCCCTTGCCAAGAAGCGTAGCTGGTGTGACGAAACCATGGATCCACAACAGAGGCAGTTCGCCAGCTACAACTTCGACCCGCCGAATTCAATATTTTGCAGCCCGGAAACTCTAATGGAGTTAGTCCAGCAGGACTCTGGAGGATGGAGCGAGAAGTCAGCGTTCAACACAACAAGGAAGATACAGGGAGGAGTTCCGCGGTTCAAACTTATTAGCAATGCTCCGTCCCAGGAGCCTAACCAAGGCGAATCTAATCAGTCGTTCCGTAAGATAGCTCTACCACCATGATCTCCAATCTGTCGGCGTTTGCGCATTCTTCGCTAACTTACGGCTAAGAAGAATTGTATTTCAGCACAGCGATGGACCCTAATAATATGTTCAATTTCAGTGACAACATGGAACACCAACCATTCCTGGGTCCTGCGGTAGCTCTTCCCTCCACGGCGATGGCTAGCAATCGGAAAGTTGAGATGGAACTTATCAACCCTTTCGCACGGAACCAGGACAGGAGACATAAGTTTTCCAGAGATATTATCATACCACCGGTGGATGGAGAAATTAGCAGTTACATAAAAGTAAAGCTTCGAGTACCTAAAAGTCAGAATGATGATCAGAATGCCTTACACGCTAAGCGTGGTTGCTCCAACTACCGAACGGTGATTCCGCTACATTCAGAAAGATATTCATATCCACGTCAAGTTAACAGAGGAATTTCGGTTATACCCTCAGCCATTCCTCCGACTATAGCCATGCATAGCGTCTTTGCTGAACATCAGTTTGATGGACAGTGCCTGAAATTTTGTATGCGTCCCTCAAGTCCCTGGTATGGTTAATGTCTTAGATCGTGAAGGGTGGTTAGTTAACCAAAGAGAGAACAGACCAAGCAGCATTTTGTTCCGGAAGAACTCTTCTTGCTGGAACTAATTTCTGGATAAAAGAGATATTAGCCATGGCCCAGCATGACGAGTGTGTAAAGCACGCTGTGGTAGCTTTGAGCGGCAGTTATTTACTGGATTATAACTCGCAGCAAGGCCTTCGTGACCGCGTCAACTATCATTATGATCAAGCTAAACAAATGATAAGCGTTGCCCTAAGAAGCAGGCAAAACCAAGACATTGGTCAAGGTGACAACCTTGTTGCTGCTATCATGTTGCTTCTAGTGGACGATGTGAGTTATCAAACATTTCTATCCGATTTTCTGCTGGCTTTTTAAGACGTGCGGAACAAAATTCAATAAGAAAGAAGCTGATGCAACTAAGTGCGTGAATTGGGAGTTGCGTATAAATAACGCCGAACCTAACTGGATATTGGCTGCGAGGCTAGCCAAGTCCATACTTGACAACTCGGACCCTGGGTACAGATACTGGCGGCCTGATAGCACCCAATATAGCGCTGCAAGACACGGCTATGCGAATTGGGTGGCTCTTGCATGCATTCTCAGCGAGCTTGTAACTCCATTAGCATCTCGAGGAAACCCGAATGCGTATGGTTGGCTCCTCGCAGGAACGCAAAAGGAGAGCTGGAAGATCAACGGCGGTACTGGTCTTTGCCCCAAGTTACTTCATATAATATCACAAATAACGAATCTGTCTGTCTTGGTGAAGGAAGTAAGTAACTGCGTTAATAATAGATTAGCTCTCCCAGATACACTGCCAGTTGATTTATGTCTGATCCTCGTTTTAGGATTCCTCCATGGCGCCCATCTATGCAGCAAAAGTGATCAGCAAAGGGCTGAAAACATTCCACCAGTGGTCAGAACTTTCTGATGGGTATCCAAGTGCGGAAGAGCTGCTTCGATCATGCGACCTAGACAAAAATGGAAAAGTACAGACAGCAACGAAAGTGACCGAGCTGACTGGAGAATCTTGGGTTGCCGCCGCCCAAATATACCTCCACTGCCGACTGTTGAGGTAAGGTTCCTCTTAAACTCGATCTACCCAGGATAGAATGGAGGCTGATAATAGACGTAGAAAACCTCGCCATCACCCAGATGTCCAAAAAACAGCCAAAGTTTTATGGAAATGCGTCACCATGATGCCATATTCAGGAACGCTGTTCACGTCTCAGGCTCCCTTTTGTCCTATTTTTATTGCATCCCTTGTCTCGATAGAGAAGAAGGATAGGATGATAGCCGAGGAGTGGTTCACAACCGTCGGACTGGAAGGAAAATGTAGATCAGTAAGTCAGCACGAGGTTCCGAACAGTTTCATATGTCACCCAGCCCTTAAACCTGCCCACATTTGAAAAATTACCATTCAATAGGCTAACGAGGTTTATTAGAGCGTTCCCCCGGTGTGGGCAGCAGTCCAGGCAATGTGGACGTGGATGGATGGTGGTGGGGTTAGCCACGTCTTCGATGAAAGTGTGCCAGTGCATAAAAGACCCTCCTGGTGGGAAAGTATGGTTGATCAGCTCATTGCAACAGTAGGTTATGTTAGTTTAACATAACTCTACCCTCAGCATGCCCGCGGGTGAATCCAGCTATTCAGTTCTATAACTAGTCCTTGTTCTTGTAAGAGAATTATATATAGCATATTTCAATTCTTTCATTGACTCAGCTTGGGTAGCCTTGGACAAAATGATAATGAAGGAGAATGTTTACCCTATCGATATATCGTCCTATTCAGAACAGTCTAGGAATTTATTTGAAGTATTCCGTAGAAAAATTCGCAATAAACTGCGCCTTTGGAACTCCGGGACCTCGGGACGTTTTCGGCTCATGTAATAAACGGATAATATATAATCCACCATGAGGCTCAAATCCATTTATTATGTAAACACGTGACTGTTTTGAACTTCCCTCCTTCAATTTTCTTTTTCTTACACAAGAAGATGCGCCAATAATAAGAATGACATTCAGCATCAAGCATCAACTAACTATTTGATCAACAACGACCAGCGTCTGTTCTAAATACAAAGGCGACATGCTGCAAGGGACTTCATCGCTTTACGTCAAGTCAAAGAAAAACAAACAGCGCTCAGAATGTTGAATATGCTAAACGGAATTCAAATGTCAAAACACCGCCAGGAATGGTCAAAAAGTGAGCACAGCCATCGAGATGCAAGGCGGTCTGACCGTTGGCCCTGGGGCGAGAAGGCGGATTCCACCTCGACTCCCCCCCCCCACCGGTCGCTACCTAGTATTTTGTGAAATCGGAATTCATTAAGAGATATTCGTCTGTATTGGTGGGAATGAGTCAGCAACGGACCTTGACATGAATTCAACCTTGGGATCACCTACAGAATGGGCGGTTGCCAGGGGCCTGCCATCTCTCCACCTCGGCGAAGCCCGCCATTTTAAACTGGCTCCTCATCCTCTCTGGACCGTACTTCCACGCCTCAAAAAAGTCGACACGTTCCCCCGCGGAGAAGTGAAGGCCAAGAGGGTGGCAGTGTACGTCCCGCCTAGCAATGATGGAGAATCGGTGGACTGTGTCTGGTGAGCTATCAATGCGGCCGGAGATTTGCCAGTCCTCCTCTTTATACCAATCACACCTCAAAACTTCGTTCGAGTATTTCAGGCCATTTCGAATGAAGCTATCCCAGACTCGTTGGGGATCATGGTACGACTCCCATAGCTCTGGCAGGTAGTCGCAGGCATCCAACCCTAGTAACATGAGATCGTTGCGGCCCATGACATGTTTCCACTCCTCCAGCCTGGAGACGGCGAGGGAGAACTCATCGTTCCCGAACATGGAGCCCAAGGAAAGGATAAGTTTAGGAGACTTGACAGGCCTTAACCAGTTCAGACCATCGCTGAAGTCGCCCCAAAGGCCGAAGCATCGGACATAATGGAATTCTGGGACAAGTTGCTCCATTGTCTGTTCCAATGCCTGCTTGGAAAGATCAAGAGCAAAGTATTGCACTTCTACTTTTAACTGCTCAAGGTGCGCTAGAAGAGGCAGCACCTTTCGGGTATCCCTTCAAGAACTAAATGTTACCATTTTATTCAAGAAGACATGATGTCAGATCAATAATATATAGGGCAAATACATACCCGCTACCCATGTCGACGATTGTGCATCCCTCCACTATCCAGTCCGCTATCTGGTCCTTGAAGGAGTTCAAAAGGTTTATTTCATCCTGGGTTTGTTGGTATTCCGGCAAATGAGTGATGTCCTTCCAGATCTTCAATCCTCTAGTATTATAGAACAGTCCCGTTGGAAGGTCACGAGGATTTCCACCATTTGAACCTAGGAATTGATACTCTGTTAACTCCTTGAGTGAGCTTTCCAAGCGGCCGCCTCCAATGTCGATAACCGTCCCTGCCTCACACATGAGCGTGCGGGTATCCTATATATGACATACACCTATGTTAGATTAGGTATCTGAAGGGGAGCAAAAAATATTCTAACCTCGCGAGGGAAAAATGAAGGCATATTGATCACAGTCGATGGTTCCCCTCTTTCGCACAACTAGAACGGCTTTGAAATGCGACTTCGGCAAGAATCCCTTTGACGTATGCTGGTAGGATTGAGCTGGGATTGACAGATATCAATACAAAATGTGGTGAGTGTAGTAGCTGACATTACCATTACTTGGAGATATTGAAGAGGTTTTCGACCTCTTTTATATTCCACTGACCTACATTCAGGCGGCTGTTTAACACCAAACGCCTGGACTACGGTGCAAGGCATACAGCTACGAATAATCATGGCAGAAGAAGCCTTTAGCAGGATCGAGAAGTAAGGCGGATGAGAAAAGATCGTATTTTTTGCAATCCCACGCCTCTTTCTGTCGTGTTTTGTGTGTATTGTTAAACCAGTTTGTGCTGAAAACACGGCGGAACAATGCTTCAACAAGGTCGCCTTTGCCGCCTTGAAACATGATTGGAGGGAAAGGCCGCTTTTGACTAGGCTTCAGGCGTTTGTGAAAGTCGCTCTAGTGAGGCGAGAGGGAGCCTTTACTGCCTTGCACTTTAGTTTACTCATCAATTTTTGCATCGCGCTGACGCCCGTCGTCTAAGAGAGGAACGAACTACTGTCGATTTAGCAGCGATCGAGAGACCCTGCGTCTTCTATGCTTATCACGAGCCCTTCGTAACCTGTGTTCGTGTGTTCGTGTGTTGCGGCTGTTCAGAGGTATAATCCCTGCTACTACCACGTTGTATGGTCCAAGATATTTCTTTGTTATGCATGTCATCTCTCATGCTTCTAAAATAAACCTGACAAGAGTAAGACTGCCGGAGAACAACGTAGCCCCGAATATTACATTGAAGATCCCTTGTTCTACATCTATTTGTATAACTACATGGTTGACCACGTTTATATCAATAAACAACTGAAAATAGGACTGTGGTGGCTTGTGCTTATGATTGAAGCGAGATAGCTATGCATAGAATATTCGCGGGTGTCGAACGGCCAATAACTAATTTAACTGGTTAGCTGTGGAGCTGCCTAGAACGCTCAGTCAAACAGTCCCATGTCAAACTTATGTCTGTATGTAAAGAAAAGGATCGCGCCCAGCACATGTACGTATAAGTAACGATCCATACATTAAGCCTCCTAGGTTGCCCTATCAGAAAGGCTGGCATATCGATCAATAATCAAGGCCTAAACTACTCCTTCAAGGTCCCTTGAAGGCAAATACACAGCACATGCACCTCCACTATTTGCCCGATCCCATGCCCACCGTTTAGCCATACCTGGGTCCAGCTTCCCTTTGATCATCTTCTCCACGTAGCCCCCAATACTAGGCATAAATTTCCATGCATGAAACGATCCTCCACTCGCAATATAAAGATTCTGAGAACGAGGATGGGCGCATATAATAAAATCTTGATTTGGGGTTACAGCATCCCTGCCTACGGTTAGTCGATTACTCCGCATGTGATAGAACTGGCAGTCATACCAACACATGCGGTAGAATTCAGGAACAAGGCCACCAATATGCTCGCCATAAAGCATATCCTTGACGTACTTGACCTCGTTTTTCAGCTGGACTGGGACATCCAAAGTCCAGGTGCTGGAGGTCGGATCCTCTGGCGGAGCAGAAATGCGCCGATGTGAATCGTTATGGTAAAGCATATTGGTGAAACTTAGTTCATGAGTGCATTTCAGCAACCTAGTTTTTCCGGGGGGTATGCTTTCTCCTATGCATGATTAAAATCAAGCAATCCAAGTCAGCGTCAAGAGGCTAGGGATAGGACAAACCAGGGGTAACCCCAACAGGGTTCACCACAATCGGCGCAAAATCAAACTTTCCCATCTGTTCCGTAGGAACACGGTAAGCACCCATGATTGCAGCAGCAGCCACCATCCTGCCTCCGACTTGCAATGTCGGTTTATCCGGAGCGCTATTGGCTATCAACCAGGCAGTATTCGCTCCGGTGCAGAGAATGACATGCTGTGCACGCAAATCGAGCCCTGTAACTGTTCGTGCACCAAGACAGCTGTGCCCAGTCTCGTCAAACAATAGCTTATCAACAGCGTGGGGGACATATTTCACACCCAGCGCAATAGCGGACTTGATGACATTTTGCAATGCGTTCTCTGCATCACCCCATCCTGCCTCTGGGCTGAACAGACAAGTTTCCACCTTGTCCAGACATGCATTTCGGAAAATGCCACCGAACCGTTCCTTGGCGGTAGCTGGTTCGATTAACTCGATGGGAGCGGGCTGAGAAGTAATGCTGGTATAGTTCTCCGCAATCTTACTAGCATGCTCCAGCGTTGTGGGTAATAGCATGCCCACCTGGTTAAAATAAGGGCTAAATATAGGATCGGATTTCCACAAGTCCATGGCTTCTAATGCGAGGCGCATATAGAACGGGTCCGTATATTCTGCGCGAATGATCTTGTTCAGGTCATGGGCGGCTGCTGACGGGCAAGGGGATGGAGTACGGTCTAGCAGGGTGATGTTAGAAGCTAACGAAGGATCAGAGCGAGCAAGCTGCAGTGCCGTTGCGGCTCCAAAGCAGCCAGCACCGATAATCAAGTATGACTGCGGAGGGCTCGAGTTGCACCCAGAGGGGGGAATCGATGGTTGTTGGCCAGGCCCAGAACCCATGGCTATGGACTAGTTATATAATGTGTTAACTAGTTGAAATAGTTAACAAGATACCTTACTGGTTAAGTCCTTTTAATTAGCCAGACGAAAAACAAGATGCTCCCTTGCTCTTCATCACCAGTATACACCACCAGAATCCGCTTGTTGTTGCTTGTTGGCCAAAATCGAAGTTTGGTGGCAGCCATGCGGAATGACCAGCTGATTAATAAGATTATTAGTCATCTCTGAGGTCAGCAGAAATCAACCAATCAAAAAAGTTCCTCGGCTAAGGACGGTGCCTTGGGAGGAAAATGGCAGTAAAGAGGATGGAGAGAGATGCTAACTGGCATTCTACTCTTGATTTATGGGATGTCTTGCTTAATGATGCACAAGCGAGCCTATACTACTACATGCAAGTTTTGCTTCAATAGTCACCTGCCACAAATCAGCTGCTTAACCATCGGATAACAACACCACTCTCGGATAGCATCCCGGCCAGGGTCAGGCCAATGATTGATGAACGATCTAAATGTCAACATTGAGTTGTTCACGGTTCGACGGCCTTCTCGGGTAAGATAATGAGATATATATATATTTGGCTTGCTTCATACAGTAGCATTGTCGAGATTTTGAACATTAAAGAGTTGCAAATATCGTGTCTATATGTCGTACCAGTGTGGTAAAATAATCCAGGTTCATGTCGACAAACCGGAGACCCCATAACTGCCATATCCCCGGCTACAAGGTGGTGGCTGGATAATTCCACCCTGCATTGGGGATGGGGTAACTCCATGGTAGCCGGGATCAGCTCTGGTGCTACTGTTCCAGGAATCCTGCAGTACTCCGCTTGCCACAGTAGTTAGCCCGTCGAGAATTGTGTCTCTGACAAGTAAAGATGAGACGAGATAAAGCAAAGCTGACGTCGTTAAAACAAGAAGAAAAGGTGGTCGGTGCGTTTTATATGCTTATATAATCGACCACTGCGGCGGGAAGCTTCCCGTCAACCTTATTTTCTTCTTTCAATCACCGTTTCTTCTTTCTTCCCTTATCCTCCTTTGCTCTTCACCATCTCGAGCCGCCACCACCAATAGCCTCAAGCAGCGAAGAATAGCTGCACTCATCGATGGTTTGGCTCACCGACCCCCAGCTTGTTTCGGAGACAAGGATAGTTTACAAGGTTGTCACTCGCTGCCCCCTTTTACATTTCTGTATGCCGTTACTAATTGGCTTGACCAGCGATCCACCCACGTTCTTGCAGCCGTCGCGCGGAGAGGAGAGGCATATCAAGAAGTCAATACGGGTAGTTCATCCGCAAGAAGAGCAACAAAGAGTCCCGCGCCAATCGCGCCTTTATCCTTCCACGGGCTTGCCCGGATTTAACCATGGCTACCGCGGTGTCGCCCCGCCAGCTCGAGCTCGAGCAACTCTCCTCCTCCTCCTCATGTACCCCCTCTTGTCCACAATATCCCGCGCACTCGCAGTACACAATGGCCGATTTCGCTGGTACCATCTTCCTCTTCTTCGTCCAGGTCCTCCCCGGGCTGCTCTACTCGGTCATTACCTTTACCACCATTACCGTCCCAACAGCCCTGTTCACCCTCTTCTCGATGAGTTTAACCTTCACAATGAATTTCACGACTTTGTAAGTCCCAGCCTTTTCCTGCATTACTCTATATACCCACGGCTCGGTGATTAACAGATAATATAGACTATTAATAACCCTCTTCCTCGTCTCAACAATCAGCTGGTTCGTCCGCTATCGGTTCTTGAATATGTACGCTCACCTCCCCCCAGAACCGCAGCGGCAGGAACCACAAATAGACCTTTTCCCAGACACCCAGGAGGGAGACTCAAAGCCGGGACTCGCAAACTATCTAGATGAATTTTTGAGTGCTATAAAGGTCTTCGGCTACTTGGAACGGCCGGTCTTTCACGAATTAACCCGGACGATGCAGACTCGAAAACTTATTGCGGGCGAGACACTTTTGTTAGAGGAAGAGAAAGGGTTCTGTCTTGTGGTTGATGGCCTTGTACAGATATTTGTCAAGTCGGCGAGGGAGCGTGGTAAGGATGGAGAAAGTTCTGTGGAAGACTCAATGGAAGAGGAAGAAGAACAGCATCACCGTCATCACCAGGGGTACCAGTTACTCACAGAAGTGAAGAACGGCGCATCCATGTCCTCTCTCTTCTCCATACTATCTCTTTTCAGTGAAGATGTGAAGCTCCGCTATCAGGAAGGGGAAGAGCCTGCTTCACCCAGCCCTGTAAGCCCTTCACCGTTCGCCAGCAGCCCGCGGTCTTCCTTCCAAGACCGCCACCATCATCACCGCGACATATCCCTCCCATCCAACGGCGGACGCCTTCCTACAGTCCCGCCCATGACATTAGACGATACCAACTCCGCCGCTCATTTCTCTACAGCTCACACCCCGCCAACTTCTTCCGCTCAGAATCGACGTACTCCAAAGCGTCCGAGAACAAATTCCGTTCATCCAGATATAGTTGCTCGCGCTGTGGTGGATACGACCATTGCCATAATTCCTGCCAGTGCATTTCGTCGTCTTACTCGACTATACCCCCGTGCGACAGCCCATATTATACAAGTCATTTTGACTAGGCTGCAACGTGTGACTTTTGCCACAGCCCATTCATATCTTGGCCTCACTACAGATGTCTTGAGTATAGAAAAGAAGATGAACAAGTTTACTTCCTTTGATTTACCCAATGATCTCCGCGGGGCGCCACTGGATAGACTCAAACAGAAGTTTCAGAGAGCCGTACAACGTCTTGGGCCGGAAGAAGGCTCAAAGGGGATTGCTCTACACAACCCTGGTGTCAGTAATAGGCGGAGATCGAGCAGTTCTCTGCGGAAAGATGCTTCATTAAGGGCCAAGGCGTCTGCCGCAAACGGGCAGGCTACATCACCACCCACCCCGCCTATCACTGATAAAGAGGCAGCAGGTGTAAGCCCCGGAGATTTGCTTTCCACCATTCAGCTATCTAGATTTGGCCCACGGCATGGTATCGATCGACGACTCGCTTCACGGAGTATTCTCCTCGACTCGACTTCAACTTCTGGAATTAAAACTCCGATGCATACTTCCCCCGATGCCAGTTCACCTGCAAATTCCATTTTTAATTCACCCTCTACTGTCCATGTAAACGAAGATAGCCTCTTCCGTGAATCAATACTCGATTGTATGGTGAAAGCATTGGGACTAACAGCAACTACGCGGGAAGCTCTCCCACTTCCCAAAGGTTTTGGGTCCGCCGATGGCTCTCCACATTTGGTCTCCTACGATTCGCGGAAACAAAAAGCGGTGTTTAACAACGCGTTTGGCTACATAGATCCATATGAGGCGTTTGGGGATGGTGACTCCGAATCTCAGATGAGCATTTCTGTTACAAGCGCAGGCGGTACGCCGCCAGTAGCCAATCTGAAAGCCGAGTTGAGCAATGAGATCGAAATTGTCTACTTTCCCAAAGGTTCAGTTTTGGTGGAACAGGGAGAGCGTAATCCGGGATTATACTACGTTATCGACGGCTTTTTAGATGTCGGTATCCCGGTGAATGACAAAGGAGAAGACCTGATCGGTCCATCGAAGAGTAACATTCACTCCGAACCGCTGCTTCCCCTTAGAAGACCATCAAACGTCAATGCACAAAATCAGCGGAAGAAGACCTCCCGTCGATCCCTATATATGGTCAAGCCTGGGGATTTAGAGGGTTACATTGGTTCCATAACTTCATATCGATCTTTCACGGACGTCACGGCGAAGACGGACGTGTATGTCGGTTTCTTACCGCGAATATGCCTTGAAAGGATTGCCGATCGGTACCCGCTTGTACTTCTCTCTATGGCGAAACGATTAACCAATGTCCTTCCTCGTCTCCTGCTACATATCGATTTCGCCCTGGAATGGGTACAGGTCAATGCCGGCCAAGTCATCTATCACCAAGGAGACGAGAGTGACTCTATCTACATAGTGCTAAATGGACGTCTACGATCAGTTCTTGAATCTGGTGATAACAAAGTAAGCGTGGTTGGTGAGCATGGACAAGGCGAAAGTGTGGGTGAGCTTGAAGTCATGACCGAAACAACTCGTCCTGCCACTTTACATGCAATACGAGATACAGAACTAGCCAAATTTCCCCGTTCGCTATTCAACAGCCTTGCACAGGAACATCCTGGAATAACAATACAGGTGTCTAAACTGGTTGCTCAGCGCATGAAACATCTGATCAACACCAAACTACTTGAAGCCGGTGGTGAAAAGGCTCATGATGAAGCAAGCAGCCTTACTTCAACGCTGAATCTACGGACAGTCGCAATCCTTCCTGTGACATCCGGGATACCAGTTGTAGAGTTCGCAAGTCGTCTCCTCAGCGCATTCAACCAGATAGGAGTTCCAGATGGGGTTGCCTCGTTACACCAGGCGGATATCTTTAATCATCTGGGGCGCCACGCCTTCAACCGTATGGGAAAGCTAAAACTTTCACAATATCTTGCTGACCTTGAAGAACGGTATGGGATGCTTATATATGTCGCTGATACTAGTGTCAATGCCCCTTGGACGCAAACCTGTATCAGCCAGGCCGACTGCATTCTTCTAGTCGGTGTTGCTGGAGCCTCACCTAGTATTGGTGAATATGAGCGTTTCCTCTTAGGAATGAAGACAACAGCTAGAAAAGAACTAGTTCTGTTGCACGCAGAACGATACTCTCCACCTGGTCTTACAAGGCAGTGGCTTAAAAACCGCATGTGGATTAACGGTGGGCATCATCACATTCAAATGACATACCGTGCTACCCCTGAACCTGCACTGCCACAGATCAAAAAATTCGGTACTGTCCTCAAGCAACGCGTGCAAGTTATTCAGGCTGAAATACAAAAGTATACCTCACGACGGATCCGCCAGGAGCCTCTATATTCTGCAACAACTCCGTTCAAGGGGGATTTTCACCGACTAGCACGTAGATTGTGCGGCAAGTCCGTTGGTTTAGTGCTTGGAGGAGGTGGAGCTCGAGGTATTGCTCACATAGGAGTTATCACAGCACTGGAGGAAGCCGGTATTCCAATTGATATTGTAGGCGGCACATCTATCGGTGCATTCATCGGTGCACTCTACGCTCGTGATGCGGATGTGGTGCCTATGTATGGTCGAGCAAAGAAATTCGCAGCCAAGATGGGCAGTATCTGGCGATTTGCATTAGATCTCACATACCCTTCTGTCTCCTACACAACGGGCCACGAGTTCAACCGCGGGCTTTTCAAAGCGTTCACCGACAGCCAGATCGAAGATTCCTGGCTTGAGTTCTATTGCAACACCACGAATATCAGTCAGTCTAGATCGGACTACCATTCTTCAGGCTACGTATGGCGCTACGTACGTGCATCAATGTCACTAGCAGGTCTCCTTCCGCCGCTCTGTGACGAAGGTAGCTTGCTTCTGGATGGCGGATACGTGGATAATTTGACTGTTTCACGCATGAAATCCCTCGGTGCAGACGTCATATTCGCCGTGGACGTGGGTGCCATCGACGACAACACTCCACAGGTATATGGTGACTCACTATCTGGATTCTGGACAGTTCTCAATAGATGGAATCCATTTACTAGTGTCCCTAATCCACCCACTCTCTCCGAGATCCAAGCCCGTCTTGCCTATGTCTCCTCCGTGGGCGCACTTGAGCGGGCAAAAAACACCCCAGGATGTCTTTATATGCGCCCACCAATTGACTGCTACGGGACTCTGGAATTTGGCAAGTTTGATGAAATATACCAAGTAGGCTATCAGTATGGAAAGGGATTCCTAGAGAAGCTCAGGAAGGAAGGCTCTCTGCCAATGCCAGAAGAGACCGAAGAGAAGAAGAACATGCGGAGGACTATGGCACCAAGACGAGCGAGTATTTAAAGGGCGAAGAAGAGCAGGATGGATGCCAGGGAGGATATATATATTTCAAGCCAACTTTGTTCCTTTTTCTCATACCTCAGCATCATTCTATATACCCAGCCGGCGATACCCTATATATGGAATCATGTCATTTCAATGGTTCATCTACGGAGCATTAGCATGAATACTGTAAAATACTACATACAATGTTATTAATTTACCGTGCTCTTTTACTAGCATTACTAGGGCGGGTGCATAATTGAGGTTCTCGAATAATCAATTAGTACACAACAAAATGAAATTACGGTCAATAAATAATAATGATAATAAAGAATAAATCACTACAACTCCAACCGTGATGCCAATAATGATGTAATTTTCTCTTAGCCTAACGGCTCTTCTTTGATGCCTGGCGAGCCTTTTTGACCTGGCTCCATCTCCGCATCACTACTCCAATCTGCATCTTCGCCCGCGGACAAACCTTCTCCCTCATATACATCGCTGCTAACGCTCGCTTTACGGCCAATCTTGTTCCCAGGGCTATCGCCATCTGTGGGGGTAGAGGGTTCTACCACGACAACCGGTGCCGCTGGTCTTTGAGGCATACTCTCACTCCGTCTACGTATATGTTCTTTGCGAAGCATATCATGAGTAGCGGTATCCTTTTTCTCCTCGCCGTTCCAACCGCCACACCCAACACAGCGCCATCGTCCAACTTCTTCCAAGGTGCGAATACCAGGCGCAGCTTGTCCGTTGACTAACCTGCAGTGGACACATATCAGTGCCAGGCGGTTTTTTGGCAGCGTTTCATCTTCACCAAGGAGAACGTCAAGTATCCTGTCATACCACTGTGGCTGACGGGGTTCAATATTCTGGGTTGGAGGGAAGGCACTAGGATGAAAACCAGGCTCATCGGGAGGATGGTGCGGTGGCTGCTGTTGCATTTGCGCTAACTGTAAGCTGGATGGGCTCGGTGGGTTTGACGGAATAGGAATTTGTTTGCGATCGTGTCCCTGTCCCATGGGGCTTGAAGGTAGAGAACCGGCAGTTTGTGGTCGTCGAATATTAGCTGTAGGAGGGGGTGTCATTTTGGTTCTTGGTCCCTGGAAGGGGAGAGAAGTTCGAGAACGAGGACCCTTGCGTGAGCCTCCATGCTGATTCATCCCTTCCATGTCATCAGCACCTTCTTGTGGAGACGGGGACCTCGGAGGCTCCGCGCCATATTTCTCGAGTAGTTGCAGAGTAGAGTTGTATTTCGTAGCTTCTTTCAGCTTTTCAATAGTCTCGTCACGTTGTTTCTGCAGTTCTTCGAGGTATTTCTGTGTCTTCGTGATTCGATACTGGAAGAACGCTGCGCCTATCCGCCGAACTGTATATATTCTATAAATCCAGGCATGTAAGATATAGCACACCAGAGGTAAACAGAATCGGGGGTATCATACACTACTGGGCTACCTGACAGGGCCGTATACTCTACAGGCCCCCACCGTTCCCAACCTAACACCAGTGCCGCAATGAGTGCATACAATATGTACGCAAAGGTAGTATACAGCGTCCAGAGGGCCTTGAACCGGCGAGCACGTTGCCTGTGAACCTCTAGTCTGCCATTTGACTGTGCGATCTTCTCAGACAAGCCTGCGAGTGTCTTCTCAAATGACGCTGGAGAGTTATCCGGGCCCTGTTAACTCATTATTAGCTGCTGTAGACCTAGTTCATGTACTGCGAAAAGATAACACTTACTCTCCATGGCCAGAGGGACACCATGGTGATTCCGTATCAGCGATCCTGCTTCATATCAGCATGTTAAAATGGCCGTTCGGTGCTGTACCATGGTCTTCTTGAGCTTTTATCCGCGTGTTGGCCGTGTTAGAAGCCATCACAGACGTTGCTGGCATCAAGAAGAGCCAGTTGGTGGCTGCTGACTAAGCACGGCCATTCTACAGAGTTATTTGCTTCCAGCAGAAGAAGCACAAGTAAACATTTATTCCAACTACAGCGCCAGGTATATACTTGATCCTAGAGCTACGACGGAGTCTTCTTCTTGTGATTTAAGGGACATGAAATTGTTAGTCTGTAGGTTGGCAAGGCTGCAGTACTTATACCGGCGCCAGGGATCGAGCTGTTTCGTCTAAATAACTAATTGGCAGGGTGCTCAACCGGATCTCAACAGCCAGCCTTTTTGGCCATTGTCAGACATCCCTATAGCAACTGACAGCCACTCGCGGAAGTTCAGTATTGGGGAGTGCGGGATAATTTGTACGCGATCATCTTCTGGATAACCCCGAAAAAGGCCACTGTTACTCGAAAACGGCCGCAATGTTCCAGGTGAGCTCATGCAACTGCGACTAGGAGCTGCGACTCAAGCTGACACAACTTGATCCCAGCGTATCCGCGGTGCTATCGATGCTAGGATAGCTGAAGAACAGGCCCGGCAGCGCGCCAGTCAGGAAACTCTGTCCCGTTCGAACTCAGCGGCCCGAAAGTCGAACAATGCATCCCCATCTCAACGAACAAGCCGGATAAAACAAGATAGCTCCGGAATTCCATCCCGTGGACCAGACCCAGCTGAGTTTGATGGCGAGGCGATCACCGGAGACGATGAGCCGATGGCAGAGACCTCCTCGTCTAACCAAAGTTCTGAGAAGGGTGGATTTGGGAACCCAGGGCAGCAGTCAGGGCAGCAGGCAAAGGGAGATGCTAAGGAGGCATCTACAGCCGGGTTGAAGGATGGGTCCGTGAATGAGTTACCCACCGATATCCGAGTGAGGCTGCGAAGGCTGGATAAGCTAGAGGCCAGGTATCAAGGTATGTATAGGTATGATTCTGCGGTTAGGATCCTGTGAGTTAACAATCACATAAAGAACTGCTCAAGGCTTATCGAGCTGCACACGCCCGAGTCCTGACTATAGAACCGTTCGAAACTGCCCTCCGTGAAAATACGCCTCTTACTTCTATTACAGATCCTCGTGCCTTAACTGAATACCTGAATCAGATTTCATTAAAGGGTGATATGGTGGTGGAAGAGTTGAAGCGGGTATCGTCAGAGCGTGATGAGTTCAAGGCTAAGGTAGAAGCTACAGAGAAATCTGCAAAGGATGCTTGGGATGAGGTATCTAAACTCAAGAGCAAAAACGATTCCGCTGGAGGGAGCCAGGTGGAGGACAAGGATGCTACACAGGCTTCGCCGATTAGTCCACCGGGAGAGACTTCAGAAAATCCGAAGAAATCACCGACCCCTTCTGTGACTTCTATGGCCACCGCTATCCCTGGCTTATCCATATTTTCTCCAAAAACGAAAGCTGTTTCTTCGCCGCCGCCAGTCGAGGAAACGGAGGAGTTCTTTTCCTTCGACAATGAGATACCACGGCTAGAGTCCGAGATAAAATCTCGTGATAAAGAGATTACTGCGCTCAAGTCTCAGATTAAGACATTAACAAATGATCTCGCCGTGGCTCGCGAATCAACAGAGGGCATGGTTCATAGCTTGGAGTCTGCTACCCGCGAGCTTAGCGGCCTGCGTGAGCACAAAGATCTACAGGAAGCTAAGCTTGTGAGCCAGGAGTCATCCTTCAAGGAACAAATCGCGGCCTTGGAATCAAAATTGGCATCAGCTTCATCAGAGCTAGATAACTCTACTGCGGAGATTGGCAAACTGAGGTCTCAGATCAAAGAGACGGAAGAAGAAATGAGCCGGATAAAGGCAGATCTGAATGCTCAAGAGCAGAGCAAGGCAAACGATAAAGACGCTAGCAAACGGCTAGAAATACTGCAAGGAGTTGTAACAAATCTGAAGTCGCAACTCAAAGAAGCCGAAGACACAATGTCATCCTTGAAGGTAGAGTTGTCTGCTAAAACAGCCGAAACAGACTCTCTCAGTGCTGTTGTTAGCTTCATTGACAAGGGTTTGGATGATAATGAGATGTGGAAATCTGCCAGGGATCGAATTTCCCATGGTGAGTACGTTGATTTCGCAGAAATTAAGAGAAGCATTAAAGGGACAGACCCTTCGAAGCCCACTGAGGACGTCAATATTCCCGCTGCTACTAATGCTACCCCTGCTGCTGCGACTTCAGGGTCCAAAAAGAAAAATAAGAAAAAGAAGAAAGGGACAAAGCAAGAGTCTGACGAGATTGTTGAAGTGTCAAATGCCAATATACCTCCGCAAAATTCTGGCACCATCAGTGATCTTGAGCTTAAAATTCAAAAACTAGAAACAGAGATCGCGGAGAAGGATGCTGCAATCGATCGTCTCTGCTTGAAACTTAAGGGAGAGGAGAATCTACGCGAGGAGATAGAGACCCTGCAAGATGAAGTGGTAAGCCTTGGACAGGACCACGTTGAGGCAAAAGATAAGGTCAAGGAGTTGCTTGCAGAGAAATCTGCTCTTGAGAAGCGTGCTGCAGAATTCGAAAAAGAGATATCTAGTCTACGGTTGAGCTCTACACAATCATCAGATGCTGAGAAGGCTCATAAAGGTTTGTCGGTGGAGTTTGAGGACCTGAAGTCAAAAGCATTGATTCTGGAGACGGACCTGAACGCTGCTCAACAGCTGGCGGCTTCTAGGTTTAAAGATCTCTCCGATCTTCGAGACACTCTGCAGAAACTACAGCCTGAGCTACGCTCCCTGAGAGCAGAGTCAGCAGAGCTTAAGAAAGCAAAAGAAGAACTGAAGACAAAGACATCACAGGTGTCAGACCTGGAGCATAAACACGATGATCTACGTTCAGAAATTAAGAGCCTACAATCCTCGATTGAAGAGAAGGATTCTGAGGTGAAAACACTGCGCCAAAAGATCAGCCAGGAGACTAATGGAAGACTGAAAGCAGAGCAGGCCCTCGAGGTAGCGCAAGGCGATTTGCGTTACTCTGAAGGGAAAAAGCAAGAGGCGATTGAGGCTAACGAGAAGACTCTACGTGACCTTACAAAGACTGAAGAGGAACTTCGAGCATCACAGTCTAGGCTTCGTGATGTTGAGGAACAAGTATCCCAGCTTAATAGAGATATTGAACAGTTACGTGATGACATCAAGCTGAAGACAGCCCAGTACTCCAGCGCTCAAAGTCTGATGAGCAGCATGCGAGACCAGGCATCAGAAATGGCAATGCAGGTAAAGGAAACAACTGAAAGATGCGAAAGTCTAGAAGAAGAGGTTGCGGATGCTCATCGCCTTCTATCTGAGCGGTCTCGTGAAGGAGAAACGATGAGGAGGATGCTCTCAGATATCGAGATGAAGGCAGACATAAAAGTGCGGGAACACAAAGAGAGACTCGAAGCCGTCATTGAAGAACGGGACCGAGCCGAAGACGAGGCAAACTCGGTAAACCGAAGAAGAGCCCGAGAGATTGAGGAGTTAAGGACGAAGGCAAGGGATGCGGAGAAAGCCCTGAGAAGGATAGAAGAAGACAAAGACGAGGTAGAGCATGCACAAAGGGAGTGGAAACGGCGACGAGGCGAGCTGGAATCACAGCTGGAACGCTCTAACCAAGAGCTCGCCGAGGTTAAAGAAGCCATGTCACACTTGCGGGATGCGCTCGATGAAAGCGAGCGCCATGCAAGGGACCTAGAAAAGGAGAAGGCTGCCCTCCGCCGGTCTATTGAGGAAACCAACCAGCGCCTCGAGAAGCTCAAGCGGACCAACAAGTCCCTCGCTAGCGATTTGAAAGCTTCCCAGCTACCGAACAAGCGCGGGATTGACTCTGGGAACAGATCGCCGCGCTCCTCTCTTGAATCGGCGAGGCAGCGCGGTGTTACTTCTCCGCCCCCAGGCACAGGCAGCGGTCGAAACGGCTCGATCACCCGGAACGATACACCTACTCCGATTGACTACGTTTACCTTAAAAACGTATTGCTACAGTTCTTGGAGCAAAAAGACCGAAACCACCAGAAGCAATTGATCCCAGTTCTTGGGATGCTGCTGCATTTTGATCCGTAAGTTGTTCACCTCTGACAGTTGGGCTGAATATTCAACTAAGCTATTTGCTATCTACAGAACGGACGAGCAGAAATGGATGTCGGCTATATCATCACGATAAATGTAGCGCCTGCTGTAATCTGCATGACTCACATAGCTAACTAATACGATGTAAATTTCGGCCACAATCCGTATTGCTATTTAGCCTCTTGCTTGAGCGCAGTCAACCTTCTCAGCAAACCTCGGATTCTCTGTCAAAGGGCGTGAGTGTCAGTTCGAGGTTGCGATAACTAACGGGTATTTGCCACAGGTCGGTTAGTATTCATGTAGGTATATAATGGCCCAAACACCCGGGATTCTTTCAGCAATACTGAATTTCTTCCCGTTAAAGAGAAGAAACCTAGTTATAGGCATCAAAGCACAGCAAAGCATCAACCCGACAGCATGGCTGACCAGCCGATTACCAGACTTGCGACTGAAGACGGTACGAACACACGCGGCTCGGTTCTTTGATAAGGAGGGTAACTTGATAGTTGAGCTAATCAGACAAGCAGACATCCCGATCATCCTGCAGTTCATCAACGAGCTCGCAGAGTACGAAAAGGCACAGCATGAAGTCCAGGCCACCCTCTCTTCGCTAAGGGAAACACTCTCGTTCCCGGACTCACCCAAACGAGGCTCTGTCTATACGTTTCTCATTACTCCACCTGCCACCGAAGCTGACAGCAGTCCGAAACCCGTGGGGATGGCCCTCTTCTTCTATAACTACTCAACCTGGAGATCAGCGCCCGGTGTCTACTTGGAGGACCTTTACGTTCAGCCAGCCTATCGAGGCAAAGGTTACGGCTTCAAACTACTACAGACACTCGCCCAAGAAGTCATTCGTATCGGAGGGAAGAGACTTGAATGGTCCGTTTTGAAGTGGAATGAGCCCAGTATCAAATTCTACAAGTCCATTGGCGCGGCACCGAAGGATGAGTGGCTGGGAATGTGCGTCTCCGGTGATGCATTGAACAACCTGGCTGGTCAGGGTCCATAATTCGGCATTGACACTCATCCTCTAGATATTGTACATGAACCAGTTGATTATCACAGCCTTCTACATTTGGAGTACTGCAAAGTAATACAGGCTATAGAGTGTTTTTTTGTGACTTCAGACACATCCACACTTACCACAAATACGGCCAGAAGAAGGCCTTTTCTTTCTTCACTGAGAAGCTTTGGATACATTAGGTCTAGAGAAGCCTACAGCTCTCTTTGAGCTTGTCATCTCCGTCATCGAATGACCTCAGCGAACTTCGGTGATTCGGAGAGCCTCAAGGCAAATCGAGTTCTCTCTCCTGCGCTGGACCTGATGATTCCCGCTTTTGCCACCGCTGGTCCCCAGAGCTGGTCTGTGATGATAGCTTTCGGAGACGACCTGTAGTTAACCTTGACGGTCGACCTCCCCGCATAGTTAGTTGACGAGTCAGCCGACAGCTTGAGGCTGTGAAGAATGGCCGAGCTACCTTGGAACCGTTGAGCAGAGGACGGCGAGGACGGGGACGGCGAGCTGGCCATCAAAGCGGTTGACTGTTTAGTCAACTGTTTAACCGCCTTTGTCCTTCACGAGCTTGCAGAGTTTGTCACATACGAGACCGTCGACTGGTCCATCCATTCATTCAAGACTGAAGTCTAACCTTGTGCAAAGGCTTACGCTGTTCTGATATCAAGGAAAGGTAAGCGAAAAGACAAAGAAGAGAGAACCGATGGTTTTACGGTCGAAAGCCTGTGCGTCAGGTCCTTGGCTAACTTACTTCTTAGATATGACTTACTGAACCAGCCCTTGACGGCCAGAACCGATTTCCGTTGAGATGAGATATCATGACCTCAGCGATGTATGACCTTGTGCTTTTGCCTCCCTCCCCTGGCGGCAGCTGGGAATTCTCCTTGCAGTCGGTGCCAGGGCGAAGCTACTCTTCTGCCCAAAGTCACTTGACATGAAGCACTCAGTCTGGCCGCAAAGGTGTACATGGCTATTCCTTCACGGCGGGATCCCATCTCCCGTAGTCCTCAAAGGGTTGCTCTGGCTACACCAATATCCCGCTTGTTCCATGTATAGAGGACTAGCTGCCGCTCTGGCGCATGCCTCACGCCACAAGTAGCAGGCACATCTAAGCGCATGGCAAGACATCTCCTTTGTCTAGAAGAAAGAAGACAAAGCATAAAATAGAAAGTAAGCGTTAACTCTACTTTCTTGTCTGTGGGGGTAGAACCAAGTTTAGATGGTGGCCGAAGCTTGTGGAGAAAGCGGATGCGGTATCCAGCTAGCTAACTATATATACCTACAGGCAGTTATTTCACGGATCCCATTTTCGATGTTTCTTCGATATTTCAATTGCTTTCAAGAGATAATCAACCGTTGTCACCTACTCAGTACCGTACTAGCTATCTTTGGGTAATTCTACAGCGACATTTTGCACAGTGCGGAACCAACACAAGATACAGGCGGAAATGCTCACCTCTCTATCTGTCTTACGTCTCTATTCGACAGATTACTTGACGTCTGCAGGCTAGAGGAGCAGACCGGAACAGAAGAAACCGGATAGTTGTTGACACTCAACACCAAACTGATACCAAGACTTCTACTTAATACCTATCACCAAGACCCATTGTTGATCGGAAACCGTAAAGATGGAGTTCCCCGCTGGTGGAGTGATAGTCATCGTTATCAACACCATATTCACTTCGCTCGCGATCATCGCCGTGATCCTCAGGTTCTACGCCATCCAGGTCATTGGTAGGAACTACTATATGAGTGACTATCTTATAGTCCTGGGTCTGGTATGCCGAAAATGCCCTATCAACATTTTACCGCTATGTGGCTAACACTGGCTGCTAATGATATCTGCAGATCTTTACAGTTGCCACGGCAGTCCTTGCAATGGTTGGTAAGTTAAGGAGTCTATCAGCTTCTGGCATGGCGGTTGCTGACATTTTATTGCAAACGCCTAGCTGTTATAGATGGCGGCGCAGGCCTACACATGAACCAGGCGACCGACCGTCAGCTTCTGATGTTACTGAAGGTATGAATAAAATGATAATTTGCATCTTATCGTACCACATAACGCATTTATGAATCTTCACTAACCCGGAAGCATAGACATTCGTTGCAGGGCCTATAATATGGTCCACGGCTACAACATTTATCAAACTTTCTATCTTATCCTTCTACCACAAAGTGTTTGGCTCAAAACAGTCAATGAGAATCGCTGTTTATATTGAGAGCACTGTCACTATAGCCCTCTACCTGGCCGGAATCCTAGAGCCCTTCTTGCTCTGCCGGCCGTTCAACTATACCTGGAACAAAGACGCACACGGAACCTGCGGTAATGCAACAAAGGCGTATCTAGCTATAGCTGTGGCCAACCTGATCGTCGACTTGTCCATATACCTGCTTCCAATACCCGTGTTGTGGAACCTGCAGATGAATTTGGTTAAGAGACTAGCACTGTGTGGTATATTTGCCATCGGTCTAGTGTAAGTACAATCCGCCCCTTTTATTAAGCGTACCCATGTTGATGCTGATACTCCCGGCTAGTGTTTGCGTTTTCTCTAGCCTTCGGATATATGCCGTTTTGACTCTCAAAGTTAATGATTATTCCCATTCTATGATCAAGGATGTAACTTTCGGCGGCTTGGAGGTTGAATTGGGTGCAATAAACGCTTGTCTCCCATTCTATCGACCGCTTGTCGCCAAATATATCCCGAGTCTCAAGTTTGATCGCAACTCTAGCAGAGGGTCATATGGTAGCGCAAAATCTCGGCCAGGTCATGTCCCCTGCAGTAGTGAGGGCGGATCCCGGGACTCACGTGGGTCACAAAACCCATTAAACCCTCCAAGCTGCAATCCTTATGTTGATGAAGTAGTTGGTGATCCATATGCAAATGGAGATAGGCATATCCAGCTGGACGATAGCTCGCTAGAAAAGGGAATTACCCAGGAGCAAAGGCCTACCAGCCGTTGATCAAAGGCATGCAAGTCCCGCACGATATTCTCTTGATCATCCATACCACATTATCAGCTCCACGAAGCCGGCCAAAGCTACCATCATCCTCGCCGCAGCCAGTCGTCCTTCCGAGGTATTGTCCATGTCGCAAATCCAACTCGAAAGTTGGCTCCCAAGCACCGTATTTCTTGCGAAGCACCGCCCACTCAAAATGCCATATGAACCAAACATCAGCCACATGATGGCAGTTATCTAGGCACTAGCAGGCAGCGTCCGGAGCTCCCTACCTATAGTGCTTACCAAAGCTTAATTGGAAAACCTCTAGTATGATGGCTATGGCTGGGCCTTGTGGCTTTCGGATAGCCATCCAAAGACTGATGGATATTGTTCAGTAATAAAATGACATTATTCTGAGCGTTGATACCCCTGTTGCCTGGATCAATTGCTAAATAAAAATATTCCACATAATATCAAACGAATGAGTAACCTCAAAGCCAATCTCCACGTCCATTATATTAGCTCCCACTTATTCAGTTTCTTGGCCATACGGTCAAGGTAATAGAGCCTCAGGTCCCGCATAAATGAGCAGTCACTATGAGTGTTGAGTGCCGCATCTAGATTATGAATGGGTATAGTATCTATCATCAGTTATATTTCGATTCTTTCGCCAGAAGCAGTACGAGAGGTTATGTGAAAGCCGAGTAGCCGAACCGTCAGGTATTTGTCTGCATTCACGGCCTTGATACCTCCAGATCCCGAGTGATTTATGTACATTTTTGTAGAAAGGTTATACCACAGAAATATATGGAGCCCTCAGTAAAGTAGTTGTAGTTGTATGGAGTAAAGAACGCCAAATACTACCTAGGTACATGTAAGATAAATGGTAATTAGACTAGGATGAATGTGGTACGGTGTATATTCGTAACTATACTGAATATTGATAATTATAGGAGGGGTCTAGGGTAGATATATTAGAAGTAGCTAAGTATAGGCTATATAATAGTTACCTAACGTAGTCTCTTTTACTCTACT